CATTCTTAGCATGTACCTCTGGAATCAGACTGCACGGGTTCCAATTCTAGCCGTTGCATTTAATAGCTATGTGAACGGAGACTAGTTACTTGTCTGTGACTTGGTTTTCTCATGGATAAAATGAGGATAACAGTGTTGACCCTATAAAACTGTTAGGGATAAACACACACACACACACACACACACACACGTACACACACACACATACAGACACACACACATCCATACCTACATTGACATACATTCATGGTGAAATTGTGCCTAGCAAACAGTATGTATCATATGTTTTACTTATTCTTGTATAATGATTATTATTTATGATATAACAAGGGTTAGAAAAATACAATGTTATTTTTCCCTCTGTGTGTATGTAGACTTCCAGCAAACCTGCTTTTGGGTGTCATTGGAAGATACTTGCTTTAAAATAGATTCTTCTCTTGAAGGAGCATTGTTGATAGAATATGGTTCGGTTTGCTTATTCAATCTCCCATTCAGTCCTTTAGTTAAGAAGGATTTCTTGAGCATCTACTCAGAGTCAAGCTCTGAGTAGAGCTTGACTCTGATGCAAAGACCAAAGATGAGTAAGGCAGAATTCCTGTGCCCAAGTTGCTCCTGGTCACGCAGGAGACGGGCATGTAAATAGGCCTGTTTCAATACGTAATCTGAAGGCTGTTCTCACACTCAGAAGGAAATGTGCAGTGTGATAAAGATTAAGAGTACCAATTTTGAATTCAGAGAGTTTGGACTTCCGTCTTGGCTCTACCACTTCACTAGCTGTGGTTCTGAGTAAGTTGCGTCTGAGTCAGTTTCCTCATCTGTAACATGGAGATAACGGCATTTAATAAGAAAGACTGTTGTGAGGAGTCAAAGATGCACAGACATAGCCCTTAGCACCCAGCCAGTGGTCCACAGGGTTCGTGGTGCTGAAGCTGCTACTTCTTATTTCTTCTTTCCACTGTCCTTGTGGTTTGTGTGACTCATAATAACAATTTCATTTTTGGAGTTGTTGAAGACATCTTCCTAGAAAGACTTGACTCAAGCTGAGTTTTCAAACATGGGTAGACATTTGCAGCACGGAAATAAGATAAAGACAATTTCGGGAAAGGAAGAAGCACGTGGCAAGTCACACTACCCTTGTCCCTTTAGGAAAATAAAGTGTCCTTACTGATTTGTTAGATAACAGAAACAGGCCCTCCAGTGCCTGGTGACAAATTAGGTCCACCAAAAAGTATCAGGCAAGGTTCCTTATACTTCACTGATTCTCTCATTCCTGTGGGTTTTTGCGTCCCCTCTATCCTGTCTTGAATGGCTTCTTTACAGCTATGATTGGAATTTAGTTTCCCCAATTCAGATGCCACTTTTGTGGATGAATCCTCCCCTGTTAAGGGGAAAGAGTTATGTGCTTCCTTACTGAGGTCTACAGAGAAGTCAAGACAGTCTAAAGGTCTTCTCAAAACCCTGATTGTGGATCTGCATTATTTGGTTGTCCTGGCTTCTGTTTGTATCCTCTTATTTCAGGTTAAAGAACACTACAATAAAACTAATCCCTTAAAGTACGGTTACAGAAAGCTCCCCAAGCCACAATGATTAAAACGATTTTCATGCATGTGGGAGTGAATGCTCTTCAGAATATTTTTCACATATGGTTTTGGAAATTTATCCATACAACAGCCTTGGTATTTGTTATCTTTCATTCAATCAAAAATGTACGAAGCGCCTGTAATGTGCCTGGTATCGTTCTAGTTCTGGACGTACAACAGTTACACGTGGGTCGTGCTTCCAGTGCAGCAGAGAGGCAGAGACTAACAAAACAATCACAGTGGTTTATCCATAATGACAAATTAGAGTTAGTGCTTTGCAGTAAAGAAATTCAGTTTATTAAGAGCTGTGATCAGCTGAGGGTCAGGATGGCTTCTCAGCTTGAGCTGAGAGTTGAAGGTTGGAATTAACAAGGCAATGGGGCAGAAGGAAAAGAGGATCAGCCCAAAAGCCTACAGTGGGAGGGGGAATGTTGGGGAACCAAAGAAGACCTGTGTGTCTGGAGGCCAGGTGAGATGGAGTATGTTTGACGTAAGGCAGGAAAGTCAGGCGAGGGTCAGTATACGCAGGGCCCTGCAGGCCACAGAAACCATAGAGATGTTTTAAATGTGAGTGTTTGTGTTTTAGAGTGTGGGGTAGTCAGATAATCGTAATTAAAAAATCATTCTGACTGCTACATGGAGAACCAAATCTCCATATAATGGATGAAAACGCAGGCTTGAGGGCTCACATATTGTTGATTTACCCTATATACAAATGTGTTACTATACACAATGTGCTTAGACGATGCCTTTGGTACACTAAATACAAGTGAAGGCTGGTTGTTACTATGGTTATTATCACCTTGCTATGTTGTTTTGGATGTATGTTTTTGCAACCATCCTATGGAGCATTGTTACCTATATTTTACAAATGAGGAAACTGAGGCTCAAAGAGGTTAAATAATTCCTCAATATCTTTCAGTTGACAGAGCTAAGATTCAAAGCCCATGGTTTTCCTGCATTGAAAAAAACCAGCAACAATAACAAAAACAAACAAAAACAAAAAACTGTCAAAGAGAAGTTGGGAAGACAAGCCAAGTTTTCTAATTAGGATGGTACTATCCCCTAAGAAGCCCAGAAATTATTAAAGCTCTTAAATTTGTTCTAGAGTTTCTCTCAAGGAGATTGGGTTATTCGTATTTATTTGGCTTTCACAGAGATAGTCACACATTATTCATTCTCCACTTTTTCAAATTATGAAATGTGAAGTTCACAGCCATATTTTTTTCTGTAATAGACCACAGGGTAACACAATTGCCAACAATATGAACACACACACACACACGCGCCCACACACACACACACACATACACAACCTCAGGTGTATTCTGGTATGTTTTTCTCCTCGGACAAGTTTTAAGTAAGAGCAACTAGTTTCTCGTGACACAGTGATGCGTTTGAAGATACCACTCATTGCTTAAGATAACGTGATAAATAAAGCAAAGTTCAACATCTAAGAAAACACATGGGGCATGAGACTCAAAAACAGACAGCACCTATCGTGTACAGAGCATTACAAAGAACTGTATTTAATGGTCACATTTCATCTCTACATCTATGTTATAGATAAAACTGGTCAGAGAGCAATTAGGTGACCTGGCGTTGCTTGCTTGGTACCTTGGTACATAACTCATGTCTTTTCCACTATGTCCCGGAGCCTCCTCCATGAAGTTAATGTTTGACAAATGCTATATATATATATATATATATATATTTACCCATTGTCTTTACTAGGTTTACAACAAATTTAAATACATGCCTTTCCACCTTCCCACCCAGAAATCTGGTGATAGTGGGTGAAGCAGAAATTGTTTTGACAGAAGCAAAATGGGGTTTTCATTTTAATGAAATAAATCAGTGAAATTTAATTTTCAAAAACAGCTTTACAAGTTCTTGTTGCAGGGATTTTTTTTTCTATATGATACAGGATGTTTAGTTTGATTAATATACAAGACAGAAACTGAGTAAACCAACTGTTTAAATTTTCTAAGTCTAAGCAGGCAGGAAAGGACAGGAGAACCAATCAGAAATAGCAAAGTCATCTAGGCAGCTTCTCTATGGCTTTAGAGCTCTAGTATTTGAAAAGTTCTCCTGGAAATTTTGGTCCATGCCATTCTTCCATTCCCCTTCTCCCCTCAATATGGTTAAGGACTTAGTTTCTTTTCACTAGGAAGAAAAGATTTCTCAGTGGGTCATTTCCCTTTACCACCAATAAATTTTTAAATGGAAATACCCAACTGTAATCAAAATCTATGAGATATCAATGTCTATGAAAAATATCATCCTCAGTCTCAATTCAAGGGTGATCCCAAACGTCTACTCCCTTTCCTGAAGGTACTGATAAAAAACTACCTTATGGTATAATATATGCTTCCCTCATTTTAAACACACAGCCCCCAGTCTCAGGATTCTACTTGGAGGATGAAAACAAAGGTGGGTTTTCAGAACAGGCTGGTCACCAGCTCAATTCCAAGAGAGTGTGGCTGGACATGAGGTAGAGTCACAGCATCTCACCATCCTCAACCCTCTTCAATCAAGTACCACTAGTAGAACAATCCTTAAGCCTCAAAAATGTCCAACCAGTGACATTTCTTGAAATTGTTTGTTTTCTAAGATATGTCAGATCTAAAAAACAGGCAGTTCACATCTAGAAAGTATACAACTGGCTTCTGACTATAGAAATGTTGCATTCTGCAATGTTTAGTTGAAGGGGAGTTGCCAGAATGTTTACAAGGCACACACACACGTATGCATAGCATGCTACATTAGAAGGCAGCAGAGAAGGTCCCCAGAGAAAACAGGAACTGGGGAATGTATACAAGGCTCAGCCCAACCTCTCTTGAAAGCATTAACTTAGGACCCCTGCAAACCACATTTCCTGTTAAGTGCTGAAAGTCAGCTGTGTTCTTGCTGCTCTGTAACCCAAGTACGGAATCCAAGTAAACCAATCCAACAATCAACACTCCACAGTGATGTACTAAGCTAATTTTATTTTGCTAATTGCTTTCTTGGGCACGCACCAAATTATCAAACAGACAGTGACAAAACAGAGAGCTCGGACAGATGTATGTGGCAGCACCTACTTAATGTTTTTTTGCTTAACACTAGTTCCAATGACTTGTTTGCATGCTAAATGAAACAAGAAAAATTGGCAAAATATTTCTGAGTTATTTTCTAATTAGCTGTGTCAGCTTTGAGATTACCTTTGCAACATTATTCTGCTCTTCAGAAAATACTTCCCTTTCCTTGTACAAGACAGACTGATTTTAGAAGCAGATCTAAGTCTGTTGGATACAAGCTTTTGCCAGGAACGACAGTCACCTAGTAGCTACAGAAGGCAGCATCAGCAGAACCTGTGGGAAGTCAGACACCAGCCCACTTTTCCCACCCACCCAGACACTCTCCCTCTCTGGTCTGTACCTTCCGTGTGGCAGCTGGAAGAGAGGATGGTGTTCGGAGGTCTGAAGATGTAAGGCAGGTAACGAGAGAAGCATTTCATCTTCCAAATAAAAAATAAAAATCTAAATTAAAAAACAGTCTCCTGAATCCATAAGGATTCTCTCGGCCTTTTAAGCTGGCTACATCACCAATATGTTTATGTAGGTTCTTTCCCAGGTCTGCAAAGCTGGGGTGCCCGAGGAATAACTGGAGATGGGTCCCATTTTGCCATCAGCGCCAGGAAGCACTGCCTTACATTTCTGCATGCAGCTCAAACTCAGAAGCCCCCAAGCAAGCCGGGATATAGCCTCTTCATTGGCTGAAGCTCCTCCGAGCAGGATTTGCTGAGTAAGTCAGTCCTGCCTGTAAACACACGCTGAAATGCTCTGCCTGAAACCTCTACCTTTTCCCGTGTGGTGAGTTTCTCTTTTCGCAAGAGAAATCCAGCAGGATATGGGAGTAGTGAGGATAAGTGACCATCTCTTATTTAGCTGAAAGATCAGATGAAACAAAGACAGCATAGTGTTCCGCCCTGGAGAGAGATGTCTGTTAAAAGGAGCCACCCGTAATGCCATGGATCTCAGGAATATTAAAGTACAGTGCAATGAAATGGGTCTCTGTCCTTGCTTAATCTAGATTTAGTTCTATTTTTTTTAAATACTAAAGCCCAGACAATAGGACCATTTATCATTTAGGTGAAGCCAAAAGCTGGGTTGAGTAGCCGGTGATAGAGGGCTAACACAGATAGATTCTGTGCTCCACTGCTGCTTCTTTTTCCCCTGCCAGCCTTAACAGTGAAGCAATAACTTAGTTCTGAGTTATTCACTCTCCAAATAGAAAGCCACAATGTAACAACAGAGACTAAACCCAAAGGAGCTCACCCTTCATCAATCCATGTGCCCTGATGGCATTAAAAAAACATGGAAAAACTAAGTTGATCCAAGGATTACACAACTTTACCAACACTCTCACTGAGATTTCAAGAGAGAGAGAGAGAGAGAGAGAGAGCAATATAATTTAAGGACATGACCAACCACCAAATATAAGTAATTTGGGATAAGGAATTGGTTTGGTTTTGGCCCATGAAATAATAATGACTTTGGAAACATTATCACTGGAAGACAAGAAAGCACAGGGCTTCAGTTTGGGATTTATAAGTTCTGTCAAAGACACTATTGTATATAACGAAGAGAAAGAAACAAATGTCCTTCGTGCTGCACTCAGAGGCACAGGGAAATGATTTAAATGTCCATAAAAGAAAACCAACGTTTCCCTAAGATTTTTAAAAATAAAATTTAAAACAAAAGTGTGCCTTGAAAATTGGGTAGAGTAATTTTTAAGCCTTCATAGGCTCTCCTCCTTATACGAATATTTATCTCAGCATTGGAGGAATGTGCTGGTCTGCCCAGGAGAGAAAAAACACAGTCATTAGAATGCCAGGACAGCCCATGATGGTGTCGGTTGATTCTCCCATCGGTATGCCACCTCTCTGACTTTTGGACTCTTATGACATGATGACGAACTGCTGGCAGAGCCAGGCCATTTAGTTCTGCAATAAACATATCACCTCCTTAGACCCAGGGACTTGGCAAGGTAGGGTCATCCTAAGTAAGGTGCTGTTTATTTATTTACTTTTTATTGCATTTTAGGTTTTGGGGTACATGTGAAGAACATGCAAGGTTGTTGCATAGGTACACACATAGTAAGTGGTCTGGTTTGTTTGTGTGGGTAACATCAAACTCGTGTCGGAAGAGTATATCCAGGAGTGTTTTCCTGAGAGATACTTCATTTCTAACCTCCGGCCAGCAGCGAGAGAGTGGAAGGACTGTGGGCTTTCGGGTCAATTTGACCCCAACAGTTTGCATCCCAGTGCATTCACTTAGTGGCAGGGTAGAAATGAGCAAAACTTTAGCACTGTGAACCTCAGTTTCTCCATGTATAAAATGGGAACAATGACAAGGTTTTCCTCATGTATTCTTGAAAGAAGTGAGACAATAAGCATAGAGATCTGGCACATTGCAGGCACGTGGTAAACTACCAATGTTGCTGCTGTTAGCCTTCTCTGAGCCATACACCAACCTAAGAGTAGTTGAAGAGGGATGTGCTTAAGAGGAGTGATGCTGCAGTTAGACAGCCAGTGTTTGATCCTGCCTTTGACATTGACTTACTGTGTGATCTTGGGCAACTTACTTAACCTATTTTAGCCTCATTACAGGCCTAACAAGGATAATAATAGAACCTTAAATGACACTATTGAGGACACAATGGGATAGTTCCTATAAAGGGTTTAGCTCAGTGTCTAGCACATTGTAAGTGCTTCCTAAGTTTAATTACTATTGCCTATAATGGTTGTACCAGCCCTGAATTATAACATATTACTTTATTTACCTAGCTATCTTATCAAAATAATGAAAGTGTAAACTCTTGAGGGGGAGATCAATGTTTAATTCATCTTTATATCTCTACTGCCTCACCCAGTGCCTGCACAAAGTAGATAGTACATATTAGTTGAGTGGATGGATGAATGGATAAATCAATATATATGGGTAAAGCTTCTGGAAGATACTTTAAACTTTTTATGTGTGTGTGAAGGTCCTTTATAGCACAAATGAAGTGGATTTGAGCCTATCACAAAGCTGGAATAGATCATTCAAATAAAGGCATTATGGAATTTGTGGATATACATGCTTCAACTTTAATTGTGTATTTCAGCTTTACATAAATGGTAGACATTTAGCAAATATTTTCTAAGTCAATAGTAGGCACTCATTAATTACTTCCTGAGTGAAAAAAATGCTCACTGAGGATGCTGGCCATAGTTATCTTCAAAGAACTCAATAAAAACAAAACAAAACAAACAAAATACTGTCATCTCCAGTAGAAGCAAAAGAACAATGGGACTAGAACCCAAGTGCCAAATAGGCCACTCCAAACCAACCAATACCTCTTGACCTCAATTGAAAATGTTTTTTTAAGTCAAATCTAAAATGACAGATTTAGTGTAAGGCCTAGGCACTTATCTACCCATATGCAGAATGGGCAAGAGGCAGACAGAACAAATTTAACATTTCTTTGGACAGGTGAACCTGATGCAGGTAGTTTGCACGGCACTGTCTGAACTATTTCAGTGTGCTTTTTTTCTCTTTGATTCTCTCAATAATCCCATTTTACAGAAGAGAAAACAGGCCGAGGGGATATAATAATTTATCAAAAGGAGATCCCATATTTCCGCACTAGAATCATCTGATGAGCTCGTGAAGAATGCAGATTTCACAGCCCGCAAGCCAATAGATCCAGATTCTCTGGGGATGAAAAGTGATTCTTTCTTTAAATTTGAGAACCTCTGGAATAAGATATTTAATTGCATGCTCTAGCTTGACAAGTTTGGGTAATGGAAAGCTTTCCAAACACCCTTGTCCTAAATCATGTATCCAGCAATTTGTTGCCACCTGATGATGTATCAGGCATTAGGCTGAGTGATGGGGACATAGGATGTGAGTTACCACCTCTGCTCTAAAGAAGTACATATTCCAGAAAAAGAGAGACTACTGAACTGTTTTGATATAGCCACATATGGGCTATGACAGCAGGAAGAGGATATGAACAGATTCTTTGGGATTATAAGGCCTCAGAAGGTCAGTGTTAAGAGATCCATGCTTTTGCATTAGGCATTATTTACAAAAAATAAAAAATAAAGAAAAAAACTGTCAAAAGGCAATTATCTTACTGAGAGGCATAGCAAATGAAGACTTAGCAGTCATTAGCTCTGTCAGTGGCATTAGTCTCTGATGCAACTAACGTCATCACAGATAAGAGCAGGGCCACCAGGAGAGGAATGGTGTCATTATGAGGAGATGGGAGGATCTAAGGCAATGGCAGAGGTTTCTGAAGGGAGAGCCCAAGAGCAGAAAAAGTTCTCTGAAAGGGAAACCAGGAGTCTCAGAGGAAGGAAAGATAAAAGTGACCCATTTAGGTGCCATGTGAGAAGGCTCTTGAGTCTGGCAGAGCAGAGTCCAGAGAGAGGAGTTTTACCAGATGATTTCCACATGTCAGGTTCTGACATTAGTGGCAAAAAAGCAATTAATTGGGAGTTTCTTGAGTGCTGTGCTCTGGACGAGGCTGCTCCAAGCTTTTCTTCAGACTGACCTCTTCGGAGAACAGAAACAATCATTTCTGCCCTGCCAAGTCCAGCTGGAGCCCCTGCCTTGGGGCCAATGGACTTGGAGTCTCCTAACTGCCTGTCCCCACTGGTTCCAGTCCTGTTGCCTACTCTCACTGAATCCCAAGTCTTACGGAAAAGTTACCCTGATAATTCTCTCTTGGTATGTTTTTACAACCTCCTTTGGGGGAAGGTTCATCATTACAGTTTTTCATTTTGCTATGAAGGAAACTAAATCCCAGGAAAAATATTAGCTTATTTAATATCAATCAGGATAAGCCCACCTAGGTTTGTACTCTTAAGTCAAAGCAAAGCAAATTCCTACTCATTCTTTAAAACTTTAATGAAGTGCCAAGACTTCAGGGAGAGGTTTCTTGATGCCTCAGACTGTATCAAATCCCCCTTCTACAGACTCCCCACGTGAGGTTCCTCTTTTAAAATACTCGTTCATTATTGAGCATAGGTACTGAGCACCTAGTTAGGCCAGGCACTGTGCATGGTGCTAAAGGATCAATAGTAAATATGATACATAAAATACCTAGTCTCAGCCAGATGTGGGGGCTCACCCCTCTAATCCCAACATTCTGGAGGCCGCAGTGGGCAAATCACTAGAACTAGGGAGTTTGAGACCAGCCTGGGCAACAGAGTGAAAACTCATTTCTAAAAAATATACAGAAAGTTATCCAGGCATGGTGGTACCCACCCATGGTCCCTGCTACTTGAGCGGCTGAAGCAGGAGGATCACTTGAAGCCTGGGAGGTTGAGGCTGCTGTGAGCCATGTTCACATTACTGCACTCCAGCCTTGGTGACAGAGTGAGACTCTGTCAAAAACAAACAAAACAAAACAACAAACAAAACAAAAAAACACCGAAGCCCACTCCCCTCTTCTTTGGTACAATAACCATTCCTAACATATACACCTGCTGAGCTGCTGTGAGGATTAAATGAGGTAATCCAGTAAAGTGCTAAGAATTCTTTAATACTTGTTTAGTATCTGATGCCCTGGCCAGACTGTAAGTTACAGGAGGGTAAAAATTTGACTTTTTTTCCTGCTGAATTCTGAGATCAAAGTTTGCAGCCTGAAGCATAATAGGAGTTTGATAAGTACATGCTGGACTGAATTGAGTTGAATTGAGTTGAACTGAGTGAAGAAAATTCTAACAATTTCCATCACACTTCCTACACCCACTAGCCAGTGTGTGAAATTCACAACTTGTTAGATTCTGACCTGAAAGAAAGAGGATCCTCTTTGTAATTAGTCCATTTATCCATTCATTTATATAATATAAC